GTGTGTGAGTGAGCGTGTGTGTGTGTGTGTGTGTGTGTGTGTGTGTGTGTGTGTGTGTGTGTGTGAGAGAGTGTGTGAGCGTGTGAGAGTGTCTGTGTGTGTGTGAGTGTGTGAGAGTGAGTGTGTGTGTATGAGAGAGTGTGTGTGTGTGTGTGTGTGTGTGAGAGAGTGAGTGAGTGAGTGTGTGTGTGTGTGTGTGAGTGTGTGTGTGAGTGTGTGTGCGTGTGTGAGTGTGTGCGTGTGAGTGTGTGTGTGTGAGTGTGTTTGAGATCAGCTGCAGCACCTGAGTGTGAATCTCCTCGTTTATTGAGCATTTGCTTTGTTTCCTCTTCTTGACAGCCAGAAGGTCAACGAGGGGTCGGATCGTCATTCCCTAAAAAACAAGAGGACATGAGCGCTGAGCACTGAGGGCCACACGATGGGCATCCTTCAGCGGATTCTCTCACCTGCACGAACACGGTGAAGAAGATGACGGTGATGATGGCCGTCAGAAACATGTCCTTCATGGGAAAGTTGTCGCTGGACAGCAGAAACGCTAAAGAGAAGGCGATAGCGCCCCTCAGTCCGCCGTACGCCACGATGAACTGATCCTTACCGCTCAGCTTCACCATACGGTACTTATTAATGATGTACGTCAAACCGACCACACCTGCAGGACAGACGGACGGACAAACACACGGGAAACTCACACCTTCTGCAGTCAACATGGAGAATACACGAAACAGACAGATACACAAACTCAGCACCGGGCCAGCACAAGCACAAGTCCTCTTCTTTAGTTAAAAAACTCCTGTCAGCATGCACTGAAGACACTCAGTAAAACATTAGTGACAGAAACACATGGAGACAGTGATGTGTCTGATCTTATAGCATGTGCATCTGTAGGAGTTTCCCTTTCAGACGCTACAGTTATGTGAGGAGAGGGTTTAAATCAATCATTGTAGTCAGTTTACTGGTCTATGCGCTATGGTTTAATGGCCAGAAAAGCATGTTTGAACCCATACTGTGTCTGTGTTGTTAGCAGATCACACAAACCTGATTATCATCGGCTCTGCTGGTTTGTAATCTGCTCTTGGTAGACTGAGTTGGTCATTATGGAAATGATCTGCATCGGTCACATCATCAGCAGATATGCAGAACTTTCCAGTCCCATCAGTGCTTTTATGGGATTACAGCGGTCTCACACTCAAATCTTTTTGTAGCATTATAAATGTCTTTACTGTTACTTTTAATCAGTTTAATGCATCCTCGATTTCTTATTTAATAATGACCTCAGATTTTTGACCTGTAATGTTTATGGACACTAAGCACCTCCCTAAATCTTCATTAACCCACACATGAACAGCGTCTGACACATAAACAGATGTGTTTGGTAATTATCTGCTGTATTTCCTGCAGAACGAAGCGCGTCTCACCCAGAACCCTGGACAGCAGGCACAGGACGATGGTGATGCTCACGAAGGTCCAGTTCCAGGCGTGCGGCCCGGCCACCGTCGACACGCCCAGGAAGATGAAGATCAGGGTCTCGCTCACGCTGCTCCACATCTTCAGGAAGTACTTGATGGTGGTGTAGGATTTGTGGGAGATGTTGGCCTCCACGTAGGGCCGCATGACCACGCCGCACGCTATGAGCCTGTGAACACACACACACACACACACACAGCATGAGCATCTAAGACGAGAACTAGAGCGACGGGACAGAGACACTCACGCCATGATGCCAGACAGGTGGAAGACCTCGGCCGACAGGTACGCCATGTAGCTGTAGAGGAAGACGAACAGGGGCTCGATCACACGCGTGTGCGACGTGAAGCGTGAGGTGAAGGCCGCCAGCACTCCGTACACGCCTCCCACCAGCACTCCACCCAGCGCCACCACGAAAAAACACACCACGCCCAGAAACACGTCGCCCACCGTCACCTCGCCCGCGTGCGCAAACTCCTCAAACAAATGATACAGGACCTGAAGGAAACACACACACTTAGGTCACACAGAAACAACAACACCAACCTGTTGACCCATTCACAGGGATCCGCGAAAGCGACTGAAACGCTGTGTTACGCATGTCAGGCCAGTAGATGGCGATGTAAATAAGCACTGCATGCCAGCACACACACACATTCCTATAGACTGAACATATACAGATATATATTTCACCTATACATGAAATACACGTGCGTGACGTCACCGTTTTCACACATTCACGTTTAATTAAATTCCATTCAAATTGATTTGTATAGCGCTTTTCACAATACACATAATTTCAAAGCAGCTTTACAGAAAATGCATGTGTCTACATTGCACAAAGATTATAACAGTATTGTTTTCAAAAACTTGCACTTTGAAACCCATTGTCAAAAGTTTGCTTTTTTCAGGCCCCAAAACACTGCTGTCGTGCAAATGATTGGCCAAAACACAAAAGCAAAAAAGATCAGTTTTTAGGTAATATTAATAATTATTCAAACATAAAAATGATTTCTAATATGTATATAAAGTTCAGGTTCTATTTTTTCCGAAGTATTTGTGCATAGAACCTGAACTTTATATACATATTAGAAATCCTTTGTATGTTTGAATAATTATTAATATTACCTAAAAACTGGGGTTTTTTGCCCTACAAACAAACACAGAAAACCTGGATTTATTCAAATTGAATTTTAAATTAGAATAAATCCAGGTTTTCTGTGTTTGTTTGTAGGGCACAATTTGGCAAAAATTTTGTTATTATATATTATTATTATTATTATTATTATTATTACTACTACTGCTGAATAAAATATGGAATATTACCAAACAAACAGTCAAACAAAATGAAATATTACCATTGGAATTTCACCATAAAATAAATCAAGTATTAAAGAAAAATAATATTATAATAATACAATTTTATAATAATAATAATAATAAATAATAATAACAAAATTATATTTCGCATACAAGTGTAAAGATACAATACTAATAATTGGCTTAATTTATAAATTTTCACAAGTCAAACCACCAGACTCTTATTTTGATGGAAAACCACAGGAAACAAAACCGCTTCTCATTTCCGGTTTGTGAAGATGTTTCAAATGTGTGTTAAAGTGACTCAAACTCAGAGCAGATCCAGATGGAGTTCATGTGAATCATTTACGGTGAATCGAGTCGCTGTGAATCATTTACGGTGAATCGAGTCGCTGTGAATCATTTACGGTGAATCGAGTCGATGTGAATCATTTACTGTGAATCGAGTCGCTGTGAATCGAATCACGGTGAATCGAGTCGCTGTGAATCGAATCACTGTGAATCGAGTCGCTGTGAATCATTTACGGTGAATCGAGTCGCTGTGAATCATTTACGGTGAATCGAGTCGATGTGAATCATTTACTGTGAATCGAGTCACTGTGAATCATTTACTGTGAATCGAGTCACTGTGAATCATTTACTGTGAATCGAGTCATGTGAATCATTTACTGTGAATCGAGTCATGTGAATCATTTACTGTGAATCGAGACGCTGTGAGACGCTGAAAACAGCAGATCATGAGCTGCTCGTGTGTAAATGAACACAGTGCTGCGCTTCACTCTGAAACAGCCACTGAGATTTAATAACAGCTCCAAGCTGATTTCAGTTTTACTCTGATTAACCGTAATCTGTCATTCACCAGTCACAGTTAGAGAATGAAGACTTCAAGCAGCCTTTAGCACGAATATATGGACTGTGATGCTTTCCAGTCAACCTCTGACTCCAGCAGTTGTGAGTTTGATGTAATGTTCGTAATGTTTTCAGCTGTGACAGAGTTTCTCACCACGGTCACGGCGTCGTTCAGCAGAGACTCTCCGAACACCAGGATGTGCAGCAGCTCGTTGATGTGGATCTCCTCGAAGACGGCGAGAACAGCCACCGGATCCACGGCGGACACGATGGAGCCGAACAGCAGGCAGGACAGCAGGTCGACAGACGCCAGGCGGCCGGCCTCCAGACGACAGGCTCCGTACAGCACCGCTCCCATGAAGAAGACGTTCCACAGCGTCCCCAGCACCGCGAAGGTCAGGATGGTGCCGGCGTTCTCGGTGAAGGGCCGGATGGGCAGGAAGTAGCCTGCGTCCAGGATGATGGGCGGCAGCAGGCACAGGAAGAAGAGCTGCGAGTCGAGCACCGGCGGGTTCTTCCCCATCACACGGATCAGACCCCCCACCAGCAGCCCCACCACGATCAGCAGACAGCTCTCCGGAACCACACCCGACAGAACCGGGAGCAGGTGGAAGCCTGACCACAAACACACACCTCACTGAGAAACTCACTCAAGCACAGGCTCGTTCCCGGTCAAATCAAACAGTTTAGAAACTTCCTTGACTGTAAATATTTTTTCTGAAGAAAGACAAACATGCAGAGTGATGAACACCACACATGTTAGATGTCATGCATGTATATTCACTGAGTAATGACAATCTTCACCTGAGATTGAGAGGAATTAATTACAGGAGCGTAACATGACCTCAGAAACATGACCGCATCGTGTTATTTTCACACAGAGATGGACTCTGTCAGTAAAACCTGTTGACTTCAGCAACCTGTGTTGCTTTATATGACAATGATGACACTTTTTGTGAATTGTTAACGATTCCTTAAAGTCTATATGTCCTATTTTCTTTTTTTAAATCTATTTTCTTTCTTCAGGCCCTGTATGGTTCAGTTCCAGAGATGTGAGCATCTCGATGTGGCTCCGTGAGTAAATCGTTATCTATGGTCAAACGTGTTGTGTGTTTATCTAATCATAATTTATGGACTGGCCTTATAAATGAAGATACTAAAAGAAAAGTTTCTTAAGAAACAAATCTAAATCTAAAATCATATTAAGATATATTAAAAACTTCTTGAGTTACAGCCATACAAACTGTGAAAAATACAACAAGAGCTTTCCCCATTTTCACCGTTCGCTGTAGTCATATAAAGCAACACAGATAGCTGAAGTCTACAGGTTTTACTGACAGAGTCCGTCTCTGTGTGAAAATAACACGATGCGGTCATCTTTCTGAGGTCGACACAGACAAACACACAGTGGCACACGCAGGTGTGTGTAAAACAGACTGAAGCCTGCACACACGCCACTGACTGCAGTGTCTGCTCTAAATGAGATTTTGGGCAAATATTAATCATATGATTAACTTGTAACCCATTTAAGAGCATGAGCTGCACACAGTGAAGGACAAACATCATCTCATGTTCCTTCACTAATGTCCAGAAGCATCCCATGATGCACCTCATGAGCTTCCAGAGCGAGCAGAGCTGTGATCCAGACCCAGAGGAAGCTCAAATACAAGAGGCTCCATTTCCTTCATACACATACTTTAATAAGAGCTTTCTTCACTTCACTAGTATTCTAACGTGTGTGTGTGTGTGTGTGTGTGTGTGTGTGTGTGTGTGTGTGTGTTGAGTGTGTGTGTGTGAGTGGGTGTGTGTGAGATCATCTCTATCTCGTCACACACACTCGTCTCCAGTGCAGCTGGATTCTCTGATAAACTCATAATGATGTCAGAGAGAAACAGAAACACAAGCAGCCTAAAGACGAGAACCGACACGATCACATCAAACACAGACATTAATAACACTCCTGATGAACTGCTATAACAGCAATCATGAGGCTGATATTAGGCGAATATGAATGCAGCTGCACTGTAATAAAAGTGCTGAGATTCTCACCCAGCTTCATGAGTGACGCGAGCAGAATCCAGAGCGAGACCTCGAACGGCATCTGAACATAATCATAATTAATCGATAGGACTGGAAAAACTCTCTGATCATGAGGATCCGAGCGATTCCGATCACCAAACACCAGTCCGCAACAAAACCCGAGCAGCAGCAGCATCTTCATCCTCTTCTTCATCTTCACTGTCAGTCCTTCACTCTCACACACGAAACACCCGCAAAACTTCAACTCCAGCAAGACTCGTATCGCGATGTTTGAGCGTGACAGCCCGAGATCGATCACACACATACACACACACACTGAACACACACACACACACACACACACACGCACACTGAACACACACACACACACACACACACACACACACACACTCACTGAAAATTACTCTTTAGCATCTGCATAACAATGCTCTGTTCCAGCAATCAGATATAAACCAGGCTCCGGTGATCAGACACTTCGTCCAGGGCCGGAGTGGGAGTCATGTTCAGCTCTGGAGTTCACGACTGACTATAGCTATCACAATAATGTCATTAAGACTTCAGTATATAAGTCTGCAATAGCGCACTGTCCTCTACAGACTTGTAATTCATTATATTTTTCTACAGCTTTGTTTTTTTTATTATTATCTATTTTACATTTTTTTATCTATTCTTTTTTGCTCGAATATCTCCAACAAAATATTTGTAGGCCTACTGTACCATAATGTCTGCCTGCAGTTAAAAAGTTCTCAGAAATAATCACATTTGTCTAGCTTAACCTATATTCTAAAAATAATTTTAATGTCATACAAAAAAAAGTCATCGGCTGAGTAAATTGCAGTGTAGTAATGCAGGAGGGGAAAATACTGTGAAATTACATTCATACAAATGGCAAGAAATGTGAACGCATAACAACTGAACGTCTATGCACTTAAAGTTTTATTCATATTATTATTGCAACCATATAGCCTATGAATGAATGAAAATGCATGTTTTTAAATGAAAGAAAACGTGTGGGCTGCTTCTGGTGCTTGGATTTCTACTTCAATTAAATGAGGTCCAAGTGTATGTATGCGCTAGAAGAATGTATTTTCCTCTCTATTTAACAGCCTTAACTTACAAAGATGTCTCCCCTCAGGTAGATGAAATGTTTTCCTGCCTTGCTAAATTTTGGGCTGATGATCAATAAATTGCATTCGCCCAAACTGATGTTCCCCCATAGCCCTGGAGCCTTTTTCAAACCACTGTTTGTCTCTCTGCTCAACCAAGGGACCATGGTCACATGATCCCAGGGCCCACGCATGTTCTCCTGAAACATGGTGCAGGAGTCCAACCCATTTGTCCTAAAGTGAACCGGTTACAAAATTACTGTGACATTTCTATAATAACACTGAACCGACAGTTTGTTTAAAGTACAATACACACAAAATCCTGCACCCAAAAATACTGAAAAACTATTTAACGGTCTAACTCCACAATTCAGTACTGCATAGTTCAGTCTTTGTAAGCAATACATTTCTAACATTTATGTGTTTAGAAACTACTGCCTTTAGACAGACTTTAAAGGAGAAGGTGCTCAGCCATCGTGTTGACTCGGGCCCCTGTCCCTCGTCAGGCCCTTGAATCTGTCCTAACCGTCCCTCGCTACAGCACCTCTGCAGACACATGTACACCTGATTGTCACCACAGGGGGACTTTAAGATGTATCATTTGTAATGACAATTTAGTATTAATTAGAATATAATGTAAAAGAATCATTTACACTGGTGGCCTCAGACTTTTGGACCCCATTATATCTGTTCAGTGTATCTCTGAGGTGTGTTTTGTGTGTTTAATTAAATAATAATAATAATTTCAGTGAATAAATTGAATGTAGAAGTTAGCCTTTTTTAGTTTTTTGAAACGCACATAATCAGTGTTTTCTGCAGCTGTGATGAGGGATCTGTGTCAGGCTCACATCCTCCTCGTCTCCATCTGAATCAGAGGAAGATTGACTGTGATCACAGCAGTGCTGCTTCTCAATGCTACGGCACTGGCATTAAAGATAAAGTCTCATTACAGCAGCTCCAGAACCGAATCTGGAGAGTTGAACAGATCTGAATAATGACTCTACTGTCTTCTGTAGAGCTGCTTTACAGCGGACACGGAGTTGTTTCATATTTGAGGAATTGTACAACATTAACGCGGTTGTTTATTACTGTGAAGCTGCTTTGAATCAGTCCGTACTGTATAAAGCGCTGTAGAAATAAATGTGACCTTCAATAAACACACAAGTGCGTTCTGGCTCTGTCTTCTTATTTTATTAATTACTTAAATGCTCGTTTGCACAATCATCATGGATAACATTCAGCGTTTATATTTGGCTTTGCTTATCATTTCTGCCATGTTGGTAGGAGCTCATTGGTCCATGGTCCAGCAGTGACACTAGCATGCTGATGCGGAGTATGTGGTATTAAATGAACTCGGCTGTGTTCTCTCTCTATAGCGACTGGAGCTGGTTTATGGATCTGAGAGTGTGTTCGGAGGCTCTGGGTGCTCCGCTGCTCCTGAAGACGCTTCAACTCCTGCCAAACAAGAATCAATGCAGAGACTCTCAGAATGCACGCAGATGAACGCGGTCAGGCTTCAGACCTTCAGGATGCTGTAGTTTGAGGTTCTGGCCACGTAACTCCTCCAGGCCTCTGCCGCGATCTCTCTCTGCTTCTGAGTGAAGAGGATCTGGAACACAATCAAACGCTGGCAGCACTGCGGCTCGTGCGGGACGCTTTTACCTCTTCATACAGCAGCTGCTCCTCCTGCTGCTGACGGCCCAGAATGCTTTGCTGCAGCGACCACACGCTCTCAGCCCTGGCTTCAGTCACCTGCAGGACGCTCTTCATCCACTTCATCATGCAACAGCTCAGCCGAGACCTCGAGTACAACCTCATCCACCTGCGAACGACATTATTAATGCGACATGGTGCAGGAGTCCAACCCATTTGTCCTAAAGTGAACAAAATTACTGTGACATTTCTATAATAACACTGAACCGACAGTTTGTTTAAAGTACAATACACACAAAACTCACAAGATGAAATTATATACTTTTGAGGTCTAGGCAACACTTACAAAGAACTCATCATAGGGGTCTGCCACCTTGCAGCAATACCAAAAGTGGTTGCATATGTCCTTGTTCCAATGTAATAAAATATTGCAGTCCTTTTGCTGCCCTGCCTGCACATAATTCATTATTACATTAAGCTGTGTGTAAAATTTCATAGCTTGTACCCATTGTCAATTTATATATTTTTATTTAGGTTATGAAACATATGTTTTATTATAAAACGTACATATAGGATTTTTTTACTCAAGCTTTTAGCTCCATGCCAGATGTCGAGTGTGTGTTGTACACCACTGTCTTTATATTTCCCCTTGTCTGCTGGATAAATTGAAAAAATAGAATGTATACATTTTACGTGACACATTTTCAGATGTTACTCCATGCTTGTTTTTGGGTTAGTGTATCAACCACAAACAAAGCAAAATACAATACTCACTGAAGAGGGCAGATATTTGAACATGGGCATCGGTGCAAAACTCCGTAACCTTGAGCTCCTCACAGAGTGTCTCACAGGTACGAATGAAGGCCTCTTTCTCCATTACAACCCAGTTCCTCTGTGTTTCTCGCTTGTCTATGATGACCATGCTGATAATTGTATGGGACTCATTGTCCATGGCCGTGTATGTGCAGTACTGTGCACAGAACCCTGGACTGTCCATCCTAGCATCTCCTACAAATGTAGATCACAATAATTAGGTAAAAGCATGACATGTCTCACCTATATATTCTAAGGAAAAAAAGCGGCATCACTACCGACTGACAATGTATCACAAAAGTTTTATCAGTGATAACACTTCCAATTATTTTCTAGTATTACTCTCTTATGTGTGAAAGTGTTTGTGTGTGTGTGTGTGTGTGTGTGTATGTGTGTTTGTGTGTGTCTCCAACTAACCCAATACTACAATTGGTCCTTTTGACTGTAACTGGTGGATGATTTCAGCTCTCTTTGAAAGCCAGAAATCTTTGATGGAGTCTACACAGTAGGTGTCCTGTATCTTGAAGAAAGAAGTCCTTTCTGCCATGCCTATTCTCATGAACTTGAAGAGAAGTGCTGTTTTGGCATAGTTGTTGCCTGACAGTAGTATGTTGGTGGCCAACATGAAGTCCCCAATTAGCATGCCATGAGTGAAAGTTGGCTGTGAAGACCATTTCCAAACAGTATGGTCTGAAGTAAACAAAAGATTAGAAAAACAGGGTCAACAATACATTACATAACATATATGACAAACTCTCTACAACCCCTACAAGACATGTAACAAA